ATAGTTCCCTGTAAAATGATCATAATTGAAGGTAGTTTTCGTTGTAAAGAAACACCGACAATAGTGGTCACATTTATTTCAAGACACTTCGAAACCATTTCGAAAATCCTCGACCTAAGCAAAAGTTGCAACATGGGTCCCAAAGCACTTTTATTTTCAAAGAGATGACAACAACTACTCACGTGTTTTTCCTCCGTGACACAATCAAAAAACGGTGTAGATTTTTTAAGTAATAATTTTCATCGATAGATTGATTGTCTAGAGTAGCAAACATCTACAACAATTTTGAGAACAGCAGACCCAAGAGACAAACGAGATTTACGGGAAGCTATCAAGAAATTGTCAGTAAAATTTTTTTTCAGTGTATTTTTTTTTCTCCTGTAAACATTGTCTTTTTCATATATCTATTCAATTTCCATCGTAACTATGTATGTATTATCCATATTTCTCGAAGGGGGGTGTTGTAGCGACAACACGCCCCTCCAGACACCGAAAACAATCTCATATTAAAATTTACATTTTCGCATTTGGTTATACACATAAGAAATATAAATGTGTTCCTTAATATATTTATTTAATTACTATAGATATTAGATATGCTCGACAATTTAATTATATATTTTGAGTGCGTTGCATTTTTAATGGTAAACGAAATATAAGCCCTAGACCAGCTTTATAATAAAAGTTTTTATCGTCAGGCTTTTAAAATCAAAGAACGCGTGCTCTGAGTTTAGTTTGAGTAATCTTTCCAGACACCGTTTGCTTCGGTCTGAGAAACATATACAAAAAATACCGTCCCTTAGAGAATTAATTACGTATTACAAAGCGATCATTTTATTTTCTCTCTCTTAATTGTAGTAATACAAAAGAAAAAAATATTAAAAATATTTAAAATAATTAACAAACATTTTCTAAAAAGCCAGAAACATAATTTAAAATATTTTACCTTAATTTAACCCAAAATGATCTTTCTAACTAAAAGATAACAACTTTTGATTGTTGAATTTATATTCATTTTTAGCCAGGTATTTTAATTTCACTCATTTTGGTGATTACATACACAACACAGTTTAGCTCTATGCTCCATGCAGTATGCTTTTTGGCAAGCCTAGCATGTATGCTTCATGTTTCTATCTTTTCATTTGCAGAAATAACACCTAGTTTTCTTTACTAAACTTGTGGCATGTTGTGTTGGAAGGTTTTTAACTTGAAGAATGCCACACATTGTTTGCCTGAGTGATTTCTATAAAGAAGGTATTTAGAGTCTCTCTCGCATTAGTGGTTCAATTAAAGCCATTCCCAAAGACTTCAGAAATGATCTTCTATTATTAGATGCATTTTCTTTCCAATGAAGATTTACGAGAGAAAGTAGCACTATTGCGTTTATACCACTTGCATCAGGCATGTTAAAAACATTCTTAGTGGTTATCGTCTGAATCAAAGTAACCTGGCAACATTTCTAACTGGTTCATGATCTATTTCACTATCACTTTCATCAGTATCGGTATTGGAGTTTTATTCTTCGACATAATTCCGATTCGAAATCGGTACCAAAGATATTTTGACCATCATCCTCGTTGTTTTCATTAGCAAATAAATTTTCAGCTTTCCTTTTCACTTTAGCTTGGGTCAACGGACGACGTTTTTTTCCAGTTTTCTTTCCAACTACATAGAGGCATTTCCCAAAAAAATCATTATAGAAAAAATACGTGGGTGCTACATACAATGACGTTTATTTTAATAAATTTTCGTAATTGGAAATATTGCTCGAATGAGACCGCAACTATATATCCCTCCTTGGTAGACCACAGACTTAATTTACATGAAGCGGCATAACCATTGAAATGGGTTTACGCATTCTACATTCGGTTTAGTGTCTGGATGGGTATCTCACACCCAAGTGTAAGCTTTCAGGGATATTTTACGTATATGGGATGTAAAAATACCAAACATAGACAAGAGTATTACGATAGAAATTTAAACCACATTCAAAAAATTAATTTTTATATTTGACTAATTTGTACAACAATAGTACAAAAAATACTAATTTTGACGCCTCAGCTTGCAGTGCATCCCTTACAGGTCCGTTATCACCGGCCCTGCCTATATATTGCACACAAAGCGGTATAATATACCGCTTTTTCTAAGAAACAACTTACCTTTCATACTATAATTTTTATTCGCTAAGTGGCCCAGCCAAAACCCTATTTTACATATAATACTAGATAATATTTCACCTGTTTTAGGTCTCCTAAGGTTACAACAGATATACCAAGGATTAACGCCAGGTAGTGAGATTTTTCAAGTTACTACTGTACGAAGAATAAACAATGTTAGTGAAGCGTTATCATTTCTTAGAGGAATAGAAGAACACACTCGATGGACAAATAAATACGTGGTTCTAGATTGCTCTACTGAGACTGCTAAAGAAATTGTCGTTAACCATGTGAGGGATATATCTTTAGGAAGAAGAAATTATCATTATTTACTATCAGGATTGGTAGGTTTGTTTCTATTAAACACATTTGTCTTTTGTGTATCTTAGTCTTAATTTTAACAGATTACTGAATATGTAATGTTTAAAATGTAATCTGCAAAAAATGCCAAGTAAGGCGTAAGGTCGCTATTATTTAACTAATAATTCATTTTTACGTTTACGAAAAAAACAAAAGAAAACAAAGAAATATTGAAGTATTTTTACGAACATTACAATAATATGTTATAATATAATGGTATCTTATACATTAGTTACAATATCTTCATGACTGTGATAATTTAGATTCAATTTTTTTCTATAGTCATCGTATATTAGAATTTAACATATTTTGCTTCTGCTTCACGTAATATTTCCTTTGGTGAAACAGATAGTGTCATGTCTATATAAAAAGAAGAAGACGAAGGATATTTGGATGATTAAAACCATGTATTTGTTTTTATATTCCTATACCTTTGTTTTCTAATAGTTGAGCTGTTATTGAATCACTGTTTTGATTATCGAAACATCAACATCGAAATGCAGATAAAATCTTTTTCCATAAAAACATAAAAAACTATAAAATTATTAGACAAAATCCATGATTATTGCCAATAAATATTAAACAGTAACTATTTTAAACGATCCAACATACCTATCCTTTTCCTTTTTCTTCTCGTTCGAGTACCTTCTTTAATCGAAGATTGGCAACAGTTAGGGCAAATTCGTTTCTATCCTGGGTTTTCCTCAGAAAAACCGTTTGAGCTCAAGCCTCTCCAATCCCATATGTTCTCAAGTCAGGAGCTCTGTCAACTCCTGGTCTGCACCTACCTTCAATATTACCCTGTCTGATGAGATAAATAAAGTAAAATCTATCTTAGGAATATTACATGACCAGTGCCTGTTTTTCACTTGACTAGCTTTCCGCTATTTAATAATTAAGCCATCAGCTTAAGTTTCCTGTTTATTCAATGCATAACTTCCAAGTTCGGAGTATACGCAGACCATATGTGTCCATTTATCTCAAAATATACACTTGTTTTTTATTAATATAGCTACATTGCAGCGGTGTGATAAGTGTTGATCCACTTCAGTTTATATTATTGTGTAATAGTTAGCATTTTTAGTTTCAAAGGGTTTATACCCTTATTCTTTACACATATCTTTCTTTGATTTATACGTTTTTTACCTCCTTTTTTAATAACTTGCCTATTTTATCGTGACTCTGATCTATCCAGCCTCTTAGTTTGATGCTTTTGACAATAAGATGCATGGAAAGACCTCAAAAAAGATGCATAGATGACATAAGAACAGTGGCAGGCAAACATATAGAGAAAGATGGAAGCAATTTGGAGAGACCTATATTCAAGAATGGATGGAAAATGGTTGATGAAGAAGAGAAGAGGTATATGTAAGCCGAAGCGTTACAACCTGCCTGGTTTTGGTAAAATATGACTTTTACACCTACGTGTAATTACTTTTGAGCTGACAGAATAAATATTTTTCCGTGTCTTTGTGTGTCCATTTAAATACACTTAATTTTACTTTTATGCAGTAAAATCTAAACTTTATGAAATGTACATGCGACTCTTATATTTTCTAAACATTCATCGAAAATAATGTAGTGGTAAAATAAAAATATTCCACTAATTTGATATTGAATACAACCATAAAAGTTTTAATACAATGCTACAATTGCAACTAACTTATAACATAACTTCGCCATTGCAGACAACTGTAAAATTAGGTCATGCATATCTAAAACTGATATATTTTTAGTAATGTATTTAATAAATACGGCGTGTCCTCAGAAAATTAAACTTTTTATTAACACTACCTACAATTTTTCAATTTATATTACTTTTTAAGTGGAGTTCCAATACATCAGAATATACTACCAAAAAACATACTCAAATATGTTATGAATGAAAAAAGGTAAATGAATTAAATACTTATTAAATATATATTTTAAGTTTTTTTTGCGTTACATAAATATATTAAATGCGCTTTTATATGCGAAATAATATATGTAGTAAATTAAAAGCTATACCTTTTATAGTGTGTAAATGAAATTTCTTGGTTTTATCAGCTGAAAACTAAAGATATTGCTACAATAGTTAATTACATAAGATAAAGTGATTACTTGGCAGTATGGTAGTATGGCACTAGCGTTATTATGACACCTCATTTTTAATAGAAAGCACTAAAACAGTCATCGTGCAAGTGAACCTTGCATTTTCCGCACATACAGATTGAACCAAACTAAAAAGGGACATACAATTTAATACATGTCTGTTTAAACTGCATTTGAAATAGTGGACCAATATAAAACTTGGACAAAAATAAATCCATACCTGGGTATAGATATTGTATAAAATATCGTTCAACTATCTGTCTCGCAATAATGTTGTTTGCGTAAGACGGGTTTGTCTAAGGAAGCGATAATAGTTCAGGAAATGAAGCTCAAAAAAAAGTTAAAACCTCGCAATTTTTTCGTCCTGCATGTATCCAGTTGAAATTTTAACAGAAAGTAGGTGATAGCCCAAGGATCAAAATCTATATGGAACCGAAAGGCGCTGAGGGGTTTTAGGGGTGAAAACTACCCCTAATGGTTAAAGATTATAACATAACATATTAAACCTGAATATGGGTAATATTTGGTTTGAATTAGTTAAATAATGATTATTTTATACTTTTGAATAGAGTTCCATCATATTTCAACCCTGAAAAAGCAACCCTTGTTAGAGATTAATGTAAAAAAATTACTAATTCTAAAAAAATTATCTCGCCTTGGATCGATTTAATAATCGATCCAAGGCGACCATAAAAATTTGGCTTTAAGCTCAATTCACCCGCTGCTTTATAGTTTATGTCATGTCGACGAACCCTGATTGTTCTTAGGGGTGAAACTACCCCTAATTGTCAAAAATTATAAAATAACATATTAAACCTGAATATGGGTTTGGAAAATTTGGTTTGAATTAATTAAATAATGATAGTTTCGTGCTTTTGAATAAAGTTCCATCATATTTCAACCCTTAAAAAGCGACCCTTATTAGAGATTAATATAAAAAAATTAGTAATACGAAGAAAATGATTTCACCTTGGAACGATTTGCATAAAAATTTGGAATTAAGCTCAACTCACCCTCTGCTTTATAGTTTATGTCATGCCGATAAACCCTGATTGTTCTTAGGGGTGAAAACTACCCTAATTTTCAAAAATTGTAAAATAATATTACAAATCTTTAGATGAGTGAAATTTGGTTTGGATTAGTTAAATAATGATTTTTTTATACTTTAAAATACAAATTCATACATTTTCAACCCTTAAAAATCAATTGTTATGAGTGCTATAGGTGAAAACAATTTTTTGCCAAAATTTTGCAACTTTTCAACTCTATAAGAAGATTATCATCCAAATCATCTTCATCTGTTAACGCATCAACTAAAGGAGGTACATAAACTGCATCTATCTCATCCGCTTCTTCCAAATCAGAATCATCCTCCAGTATAGCTTGCAGTGCTTTTACTGAAAGAGGTCTCTTCATTTCATATTCGGACAGTCTGAAGATCGTATATGTAAATGTATTATTGTACATTTCTGGTAATAAAATATTATCTGGTAATATTATTTATATGGAATATGTATATGGGATTTACAAAACACTAATAACAAATTTTACTTACCCCTTGGACATCTCGATTCACGCTAAAAATAGTGCAAAATTGTAAAAAATAGCTGCTAACGAGTAGACTCACTATTACTAGACCAAAGAAACCACTATACAGTTGGAAATAATAACTAGGACTGAAAAATTTCGAAATAAATTCACGGATCGCTACAAAGTTTCATAAACGAAACATTATTTTAAGGCGTTATACAATTTTATAAGTAGTTATATTTCAAATTATGTTTAAATAATATTATTCTACAATCTCTAATTAAACAATGAATGCTGGTTTAGTCTAATTTTAAACATCTTGTGATTTATTATGCGAGCTCAAACGACACCAATAAATACTAGTAAATTTGAAGTGTTTTGATTATTATTTTAAAAATTATACAACACATACTATGGACCATAAAGATAACCAACACGTCAATAAAATATTTATATAAAAGACCGATACATAAACTATAATATTCGTCATATGAAAATCGTAGAAAAAAATAATTAAAGAAATGTTTTGTTTTCGATACTTTGACCATTAATGGGTTTTCCAAAAACTTAAAACGATTAATTTTGTGATTTATTGTATAAGTATAAAATCAAATAGTAAGTTCGTTGGATTCATCAGTATACGCGGGATCAATGCATCCTCGTCTTTGTTTTTTTTTGCCTTAATGATCATTGCCTTATTAATATTATTCATTATATGAAAATCCTACTTTTGATTGTAAATTGTTAGATGGGAGTCTACGCAATTCCAATGAGTTCAAAGACTCATAGTAGGATAGTTGAAGACGTCACCCTGATTTATGACTGTGTAAACCAATTTGAACGAAAACAACTTTCTAGTTGAAAGAAGTTCAGAGCTAGACCTAAAAGAAAATTCAGACCAGTATATTTACCTGAGTATATGTATAAAAATTTAAGCCGTTTTAAAAAAGTATTGCAAATAAATATGTCACACTAATATTGTTATTAAAAAATAGGAGTTGGTGATAGAGGGATTAAAATTAATGGTCGTATGTATTGTATAATGCCATCTCATTAAAAATCAAAATTTTATCCAAAAAATTATAAGAAATGTTCAGGATGGACCACCGAAATATACATCTAAAATTTCATAAAAATGGGTCAAACCGTTTCGGAAATGTATGGCAACTAACTATGTGATACTAACATGAATATTACAAACAGATGGTTGGTGATAAAAGAATATAAAATTGTCCAAAAAGTAAAAAAAAATGTATGGAATGAACCACCTTTAGCCTTATTGGTATGAAGAATAGATTAAAACCGATTCCTAGACATACCGAATTACATAAAAAATTTCATAAAACTTGATTAATTTATTTAA